TTAGCTGTGTGACCTTTGGCAAATAACCTCCCCACTCTGGGCCTGTTTTCTTCTCATCTATAAAATGGGAGGGTGGGACAAGATGAACTCTTCCAGCTCTGAAAACCTACCATGCTGAATGCTTCAATAAACAGCAGTCCAGCTATGGCTGTGAACATGATGTATTCATTAGAAGTCTAAGCTTTGGAACACTGTTAAAAAGCAAAGGTTAAACTGCACACAGCAATCATTCTGTTAGACCTATGAAGTTTCATAATGTTTTCCATAATCCTATGGGTTTATATTTCTAATGTGATGTAAAGGGCTAGAAGATTATGGAAATATGCCCTTCTCTCAGTTCCTTTTTGTAAACTCCGAATTTTCATTGCAAAACATTAGACTTTCATATCTTGAAGAGCAATTAGAAAAAAAAAATGTTTTCATAAAGACCATAGTGTTGCAATAATATATTAGGCTTAAGAGAAAAAAGTTATATTAATAGTTATATGGTGGCCTGTTTTCATTTGTGGCCCATAAACTTTCCTTTAAACAAAATGATTGCTTCTGTTAGTTACAATGGGGTTTGTTATAACCATTTTTAGAATTAGCTTAAAAACCTTCAGAATACTCCATGTTTGTGGTGTATGCATTTAAAAGATTTTATATACCTGTAGTCCATTGTGCTAAATGCGAAACTGTATCTAGTGTTTTGAGGTAAACTCTTGAAAGAAGCTGTCCTCTTTAAATAAAATTGTTAGTTTATTTACTGGCAGAGCAAAAACGTAATTCCCCAGTTAGTGTAAGGAAAAAACTATGATGGAGTAAAAAGAATGCTAGAGTCAGGAGACATTGGGGTTCAAATCCCTCCTCAGATACTTATCAATTGTGTGGCCATGGTCAAGTGGCTTATCTTCTCTGGGCCTCAGTTTCCTTATCTGGAAAATGGGAATAAAATATCTTGTGGTATATGCCTGGAATCCCTGCTACCAAGGAAGTGGAAGTTGGCAGATTTCTTGAACTCAGGAGTTCTGGGCCGTGGCAGGCTTGGTCAACCAGGTGTCTACACTAAGTTTGGCATCAACATGGGGGTTGGCACTGGGTGAAATGTGGAGACCCCATCCTTAAAAAAATTAAAAAGTGATTATAATACTGTTAGTGCCTTCCTTATGGAATTACCCTGAGGATCAGTGTGACCTTAGGCAAGTTACATAACCTCCACCTCAGTTTCCCTTTCTGGAAAATGGGGATAATAACAGCACTTATCTCCCAGGGTTGTTGTGAGAATCAAAAGATATAATAATTGTTAAGTGCTTCATACAGTGCCTGGCACATAGTAAGCACCTAATAAATGCTCATTCCATCCTTCCCCTTTCTTCTCAAGAAGTTCTCAAGGAGGATGTACTTGGGGCAGTCTTCTTAGACCAAAGAGAACTTTTGATATTACCTTTAATGAAAGAGGCAAGTATGTCTTTAGACTGTACTAGCCTTGTCCATCAAGAGAAGAATATACATCCCAGAATCTGAGAAAAGTATGCTTGTGGAAGGAAAGATGGAATGAGAGGAAGTTCAATTTTATACCCAAATGGTAGGAAGAAACTACATCCTAGAAGACAAGAGGGAATGAAGAATATTTAACAACTCATTGAAAACAATCAAACTAGATCTCTTCCCTACAGAAAATGGGTGGGGAGCTCTTCACTGTCATCCTCCCTGCCACCCCTCCCAATAATCAAAGCACATGAATGCAGAAGGAGTTGTGATCTTTGACCTAGGGCCTGCGTCATAGACTATGTATTGGATATTTCTACCTGGATGCCCTTTAAGCATTTCTGACTCAATATGCCCAAATAGATCTTCTCTTTCATTATAAACTGTCCTTTCTCCAGACTTCCCCATTTTGTTGTGAGAAGCACCATCTTCTCAGTCACCCTGGTTCATATCCTCAGATTCATGTTTGACTCTCCCCTTATTCTCAAGACCATTCAGCCTTATCAATTCTAGGCAGCTAGGTGGCACAGTGGATTGAGTGTTGGTCCTGGAGTCCGGAAGAATCATCTTTGTGAGTTCACTTAAGCCTCTTTGCCTCAGTTTCCTCAGCTGTAAAATGAGCTGGAGAAGGAAATGGCAAATTTCTCCAGTCTCTTTACCAAGTGAGGTCACAAAGAGTTGGACATGACTAATTGACAAAACAACAAAAAAATCAATTCTACCTCTGCAACATTTCTCTCATATGACCTTTTCTGTCTAGCCACAGACCCACCATCTTAATTCAGGCCCTCACTAACTGTTACCAGGACTAATAGAACAGCTCCTGTATTAATCTCCTTGCTTCCAGTTTCCTCCCATCTGTAATCCATCCTCCTCACTGCTGCAAAATATTCTTCCTTAGACAAAGATCTGACCATGTCACTCTCCTTCCCAAAAATCTTCATCCTCTCCCAAATGCCTCCAGGACAAAATATAAACTCCTTAGCCCTACATTTAAATTCATCTGTCTCTACCGTCTGACTTCCACTTACCTGTCTAGCTTTACCTTCTAATACTCCCCCATGAACTTTTCTCCCACCTCAGTGCATTCAAAAGAGCCATATCCCATACATGAAAGGACTTCCTCTTCACCTCTGCTTCTCAGAATCTTTCCTTCAAGAATCAACTTAGGTGTCCTGACCACGCAACACTACAAGCACCAGTTATTTTAGTGAATGAATGAATGAGTAAATGAATGAATGAATGAAAAAGCATTAGTAAGCACTTAGGGAGAAGGCAAACTAGGCCATCTTTTGCCTCAATTCTTACCTAGCCTTTAATCACAGAATGGGTGTCACCTCATACAAACTGAGACCCAGGAGGGAAAAGTCTTACCTTAAAAAGGCCAAGGTCCCCCACTGCATGCAGGGCCATCACTAGTCGTCCAGACCTACATCTTGCCACTGGACTCAGATGACTCTGGAGGAGAGAGTGAGGCTGATGACTGCACTGCCCTGCCTCACTCAAACCCAATTCACTTGCAAGTCATGACATCGCCCTCCTGAGATCATTGGTCTTCTTAGAGAATGAAGGAGGAACAACAACAATGATTCTGAGGATCAAATGAGATCGCATGCCTATGAGGTGCTTTGTAAATCATCCGATACAAACGGTTTCAACTCTTGTCAGTTATTTGTGTGCTGACACACTCTAAGCAGTATGAATGGTTAGACAGCCTCAACACAACCTCTTTAGCTACCTAGCTGTCCCCTTGATTGAATGCTGTGTTTCAGAAGTATGTAAATCCTACCTCTGACACTTACCACCAGTGTAACCTTGGGCAAATCACTTAACTACTGTAAAGTGAGGGAGTTGTGTGAGAATCCTTTCCTGCTCTGGATCTATGATCCTAAATTGACAGGCCATGTGGATTATTATGAAGAATCTTGCTGCACCTTAGAGTTACTTTCTCTCTAGCTGGCCCAGTGATATAGCAGTCTTAAGTCACAAGTTAGATTAAGTATGGCATAGGGAGACAAGGTTGGTTTTAAACCAAGAACTGTGCTCCCATGATAGAATAGACTATGCTGGGGGGGGGGGGGGGTGTATATAATGTATTGTTATACTATTTTGCTATAAATATAATCTCTTCCCAAATATATTCTATACCCCTAAAGCAGGGTGATTATATATGTATATACACATATATAAATATGTATGTACAAGTACACATATATATCCATGTGAATATGTCATTGTGTATATACATGTATTTATATGTGCGTGCATGCATATATACATAAGATATCCCAGGGGCAGCTAGGCAGCACAGTGGATAGAGCATTGGCCCTGGAGTTGGGAGGACCTGAATTCAAATCTGGCCTCAGACACTTGACACTTACTAGCTATGTGACCCTGGGCAAGTCACTTAACCCCATTGCCTAGCCAAAAAAAAAAAAAAGACAAACAAAAAGACATCCCAAAAGTCTTAGTGCAGTTTGAAGTTTTAATAGCTTTAAATCAGAACTGAGCTCAAGATATCCACCCAGTAGCAGGGATAACACATGTGTGCCATTACATCTGGCTATCCCCATTTTAATAGCTTTAAGCTCTAGTAGCCTAAAATTGCACTAAGACTTTTGGGACACCCTGCAGATGTACACGTGATCCATGCACACAAATACACACATGTGTATGTGTGAAAAAAAATAATGCCAATTAAATGCTCTACTTGAGTTTTATAAGAACTAGATTTGGAAAGAAAGTACAGCCTCTATTAAGACCAGTAGAAGATGGCATCTTGGAACAAGCTGTGGTGTACCCAGATGTATGTTAGGAACTACAGAAAAGTTTTCCCTGCAGCCCCGAGAAAGCCACTTCAGGTCTGTGCCACAGTGTGTACACATTTTATACTAACGGTGAAGGCCCCTCTCTTTAGCAGCTGGACTAGGTTCCTGGTTCGTTGACATTTGGATATGAATGTGAGGGAGAGCTTTTATATTGCTGTTCTAAAATTTCATTGGAAAGTCACCTTCACAGGAATCTGCTTTCCAAACTACAACACCCACAGCATCTTCTACTAACATTCTTATTCTGCTCTCAGTAATTTGCTGTTGGAAGTATAACAATAATGCACATTTATGTAGTTCATTATAGGTCCCAAAGCATCTTCCTCACAACAACCGTGTGTGGTGGGTAGGTCAAATATTATTACCCCATTTTACAGATGGAGAAACTTGATCCTCAGATAAGTGAGTTGCTCAAGGTCACATTTTTAGTAATTGTTGGAGTTCAGAATAATTTGTATTTATGTATTTTCCCAAAGACCTTATAGTTACAGTGTTAATTATGTGGGAAAGGGGAAACTGGGTTGAGATTAGGAATCCTAAATCCTTTCTTTGTGGTAGCCAATATCCATATCTCTCTCCTACCTCATTCCAGTGCCCTTTCCACATGACACTGCCTCTCAATTGAAGGAAAAACAGTAGGATACATGCCACTCACTTTTACTTGCTGATGGAAGAAGGATAGTAAATATGTATGTTCTTTTGCAGGCCAAAGCTTACCTAAGGATAGCAGCCGAAGTCGTGAAGAGATTGCCACCACCACCTGCATGATGTCCCAAGAGCTAACACCTGGAAACAGTTACCAAGACACTGAAAATAAGATGACCTTTGAAGATCAACAGGTTTAAACCAATAGAAATGTATTAATGATCAAATTTCTATTTCATTATATTTATAAAGAAATCATGTTTTGCTCTGTACACATTTGAATTTTCTGGGTTCATCTACATCTAAATAAAGTGTTTACAATAGTAATGACTAGTCATTGCCTTTTTTAGTCTTTTCCAGAGGGTTAGGGTTCATGAAGCCTAGAGCTTCCACAGGTACCATCCACTTACCACATTCTACACTTATACCTAATATAAACACTTCCAACATTTATCGTTGTTGTTTTTGTTGTTCTTAATGAGCCACTCCTAAGAGAGGAAAATTAAGAAATTTATAGTGTTGCCAATCCAGCCTTCGATTAAAAACCAAACAAACATTTGCACCAAGTTAATAATTTAAAAGCCTCTGATGGGGTGATTCAGAAGTCTTAATGCAGGTTTAAGGTTTAAGAGCTTAAATGTAAATATCATAAAAAATGTCAAGTGCATTGAACTTGGACTTGGGAGACTTCGGTTACAGTCCCACTCCTGCCACTTATATATAAACTGCGTGACCTGGGGGCAAGTCATTCCCCATCTTGGGGCCTCATCTATAAAATGAAGCGTACTGGAATGATATTAATAATAACTAACAATTTTACATAGTTCTTTAAGATTTGCAAAGCACTTCACAAATATCCTCATTTGATCCTCACAACAACCCTCTGAGGCAGTTGCTATTATGTTCCTCATTTTACAGATGAGGAAACTGAGGCAGACTGCAGTTATGAGGCTTGCCCAGGGTCACACAGGAAGTGTCTGAGGTTGAATTTGAACCCAGGTTTCCTGACTCCAAGCCCAGCACCCAAACACTGCATCATGTAGCTACCTCTAGGATAAGGAATTTTTATTTTGTAATAGAAGACGAGGTCTAAGGCCCTTTCCACTTATGATATCCTATGATCCTCTTGTTTGTGTGTACTTGTAGATCTAATTTGTACCTCCTTCTCCTTGACCCATCCATAAGGCAGACAGCCTATATAAAGTCTTATAAAATCACCCATATGCCAACTTGGTGAAACCTGAAAATACATACCAGTGATGGAATATGGTGGCATACAGTAGGCACTTAATAAACACTTGTTGGTTGATTGCTATCCCTACTTCTGACCTTGCATGTACAAATGCATGAAAGATGGTGGAGGGAACTCCTGTTGTGGAAACTTCCTCTTCCAACAGATCAAAATGCAGGTGGCTTTTTAGACCCCCAAGGAGTTTTCTGAGGTGCAGAGGATGAGTCTTGCCCAGGGTCTTGATGAGGTGGTCTTTAAATCCAGATTTTTCTGATCCTACCCCTAACACCCTGCTTCTACCAAACAAAATAATTCCACTGCACATTCAACCAGCCATCAGTTCCAACACAAGTTATATGAAGTACACACAAAGACTGTCATGCGGGCTAATTCCTTCCTGGTTCACGAGGAGGCTGAATTGTGAGATAATCCTCAGCTGTGGCAAGGTGGTTTGTGTGACCCTTGGGGAAATCCCTTGACCTCCTTTGCTATGTAGTCAAGGAGCCAGAAAATTAGGCAACCATTAAGACTTCATTGAAACCATGTGCTATGTGTGAACCAAAATTTCCCAAGGGACTAAATTACACAAACTAATTAATTTCATGAGGGAAGATATCTGTGTACACATGCTCTGTTCATATAATGAAGGTACCATTCACTACCCTGAGAAGGAAGCGGTGTATTCCAGCTGTGGGCTAATCGAGTGTTTGTTTTTGCTTTTAATTGTGATTTTATTTGTATGTTCCTGTTGTGGGCACAGCTAATCACTGATCCCGATGGATTACCTAGAGCAGTCTTTTAAAATGGGTCCCACTTACACTGGAAAAAGTCTGATTTAAATCAAAGTCGCTGAATACCCAGTTTCAGTGGGGTGTAAATTTAATGTGTGCCACAATGTGTTATGTCTCCTGTAGCGCTGGAAATAGCAGTACATGGAGTCTGGCCCCTACTCACAAACACCTGACTCACAATAACCCACAAATACAAATGGCAACCCTTTCTCCCTCTCTACTTTACTGGAGCCCCTGCTGATGCTGCTATAGGAACCATTGTGGCAAAACTTGGAGCTGTTAGAGAATCTACCAATTCAGAAAAAGAGAAAGAAAAGCTCTGAAAAGCAGGGTCAGCCAAAGACAGGCTCCCAGGCAGGACTGGCTTGGTTATACTGTGGCATGCCCGCCCCCAACTCCCACTGCCTGATTATTTTCATTTTGTTCCGTTTTCAAAAATTCCACCCATTAGACATATATTTGGGTTAAGAAGCCCTCTATTTTAAAAATGCAAATGCCTCTCATGAGAAGGGGATTGTTTCTTTGTAGTTAAGCAAAAAGTAAGTGCTTAATCAATGCTGGTCCATGACTGAAGGGTAAGTGGCTATACATCATTTACACCTTAGTAGGAAATCAGTTCTCTCAGGCTGCTTTCCTATTAATACCTACCTGAAACATCTGAACTAAGAAAAAGGGAATTTTCACTGGGAGTCAGAAGGAAGGGATAACCTTTAGCTGGGGGGAAGTGCAATCAGAATTAGGGATGACTTAGTACTTGAGTGAAGCCTTGAAAGACTTCAGCTTTTGGAGATCTACATGGAGGAAAGAGGAGTTATGAGAAATGGGAATAACTGAAAGGCCAGTTTGCCTGCAACATAGATTGAATGAAAGAAACTAGACCAGGAGTGGGGAACCTGCGGCATGTGGCCTCAAGGCCAAAGGTTCCCCACCCCTGGACCAGACTGAAAAAAGGATAGAAGGGTAGGTTACAACCAGATTGTAGAAGGCCTTAGATTCTAGGATAAGAAGTTTGTATTTTGTCTTCAGACAATAGTGAACTACTAAAGGCAGATGTAATCAGATTTATGCATTAGGAAAAGTACTTAAGTATTGATGAAAATGACAGTTTGAGGAGAAAGATCAATTAAGAGGCTAGTGGTCTAGGAGAGAAGGAATGACTTCCATCCCCCCTTCATTTGTCCATTATATCTTCATAGTTTTACTGTTTTTAGCAGCACAACATTCCTGGAATTCCATATTGATTTCTGTATAAATACCAAATCTTGCAATGGCCTTTGATTAAAAGTATCAATGCCCTAACCTGAAATGACATCATATTCTTAGTTTGAAAAAAAAAAAAGATAAAAACACTAAGGTAGTATCCTCCATTTGAGGAGGGAATCCATTCATTCACCTCATTATTCCCCACTTAGCTGCCATCCTGGACTTCATAATCTCCAGAAACTCATCATCCTGCAAGATGGTGCCAAGTCCGAAACTCCTGGGCTCCCTCTCACTTTCCCTCTGGTTGGAGGGGGTGGGAGTGGATACTGGGGAGCTCCTCCCAGGTCCTCCGTTTAAGGAGGGCACCCAGCTGACTCAGCTCATCATTTCCCACCTGACTGCTCTCTTGGACTTCTGGAGTTCCAGAATCTTGCTGTATTTTCAACTTCTTTTTATGTGCTGTATTCCCCCATTAGATTGTGAGCTCCTTCAGGGTAGATTATTTTATGCCTTTTCTTTGTATTTCCAGTGTTCAGAACAGCACCTGGCACATAGTAGATACTTAATAAATAAACTGACTATTGACCATTTACTCTTATCTTTTGGTTACACTTTATTCCAAAGTTACCATTTGCCAAATCTAATGGCAAATTCAGTCTTTATTCTTCATGACCTCTGTAGCCTATGACACTGTCAGTCACCCTCTTCTCCTTGTTACCTCACTTTTTACTGGTTTCTGTGACACCACTCTATCCTGTTCCTCCCACCTTTCTGACAACTCCTTCTCCATCTCCTTTGCTGGATCTTCATCAAAGTCACGCTCAATAATCATAGGTATCTCCCAGAACTCTGTCTTGGTCTTCTTCCTTTATACTATTTCTCTCCAATACTAGTGCTATAAAGGAACTGCACTGTTTTAAAATGGGTCTCATCAGTCATACTTTTTGTTGTTGAAAATGGAGTATATGACTAAGCTTGTGCAGCATTATATGATGCGGGGAGGGGAGGGGCGGTGCAAAGTACTTAGGGCAAATGGCAAGATACTATACCTGACTAAAATTAGTATCCTGCCAGATGACTGGACATGATCCAGGGGGTCTGCAGTTGACTAACCTTACTTTGATATGAAACTTTCACTAAGAAAACAAAATTCATTTGACCAATTTTTCTTGTAACTCCTTTGAAGACACTTACCTTAATTTTATAAATGCCATGGAATTAAACAGTTAAAATGGTGCAGCTTTACTGCTGCAGTGTGCACTAAGTTCCCCTTTAAACTGAAGTCTCTGGGAGAAGTTGGGTTGAAACATAATCTAATAGATGGTTTCTGAGTAGGGAAATATCACGTGGCCAGTCCTAGCAACAATGTGAAACAAAAAGAGCCTGCTACTGAAGACAAATTACTTTAAAATATTTTAAAATGTAAAAATCAATTGGCTGCCTCAGGCCACAACAAGATGTGGCAAGGTAAGAAAGGAAAGCAAATAGCTGAATTTTGATTGCCCTTCAAGTTCCAACCCAAATTTGAAATGTCAGCAGTCACTCATCTGTGTCTGACTAGCAATGAGGTTAGAGTGAATACACATCTAGACTGAGCACATTGTATGTCCAACTGGAAAGCAACAATCCTGCTTTATAAAAACTGATTGTAAAATAACTGTGACTAGAAATCCTTACTTCTGAGAATTAGAGGATTTTAAAAAATGTTTCATCAAAGCAACAGTACATTTAAATTTTTTTATCTTGTGGATGTGTATATATATATATATGTACACACACACACACACATACATACATATATACACATATATTTAAGTTGACAATCCCAATATACCTCCATACTCCCTTGTAACAAAGAGAAAATTAAGCATAGCCAACTAAATAAATGACCTCTCAGGACTTTTCCAACTCTAAAATTTTATGATGCCCCTTGTTGTTCCATTGGCATTCCCTCCCCTCCTTCTTCCATCGTTGAAAAGATCAAAGAATCCTAGATTTAGAGCTAGAAGAGGCCTCTGAAGTCACATAGTCTAAATCCTTCATTTTGTGGACAGGGAAATTTAGTTCCAGAGAGGTTAGGTCACTTGCCCAAACTCAGAGAG